TCTACACACTTTGCAGATTACTTTTTCTGCACTCCACACGTTTAATCTGTGCGCACTCCAGCGGGGTGACAATCATTCCGTTTACGCTTTTTTTTTTTGGGAAGACAGTCTGACTGTCACCCTTTCCCACAGCACTTCCCCACTGTACAAGGAGACAGTATTGCGCTATGACCGCAGGAGAAATGAGGTCCAGACTCAACGAGCTTTTGTGCGACCTCACCTGCACTGACAGTCGCCTCACTGCGTTCACCATGTGCTGCGGTGCACACTCCTCCCGCTGCAGCCGACAGGACACGCCGTCACGTAAACATGTAAACAGTTCAGCGTTCATTTTCACACACCTGAACCAGGTCCGGATAAGTTATGGTTTTTTTCCCCCCTCTTCATTTGCGCTCTCAGCCACGCTGCTTCGCGCTTCCTGTTTTGACTCCAGCCGGTTAGATCATCAAAAACAATTGCGCGGTTGGCCGGTAGACTACAGATCTCTATCATAGGACAAATTTATATCATTTCTACCGTATATCATTTATATCGCGCATTCCTAGTTGACATAAGCGTTATTTAGGCTGTCCGAGACAACCTCTTTGTTTTGGACAACCAGATCCCGCCTCCCGGTTGTCCGGTGGGCAACCAGGTAAAAAAGATGGAAATTAAAATTCTCCTTCGTCATTTGCAAAAATGAAAGGAGAAAAAAAATTCTTAAAATCATCAAGATTTTAAAGTGATGTTTCTTTCAACCAATAGAGAGAACCACAGTCAAAGTTCTATGCAATCAGATCACTGTGCTTCGAGTCACTCTGTAAAGGCCAACTTGTAATCCTGGTCCTTGAGGGCCACTATCCTGTGCATAGGGTTGGGTACCAAAACTCGGTTCCAGTATGGCACCAGGGCGAACATCAACGGTAGCACATAAGACCGAAACACAACTCTAACTTTGGTGCCTCAAAGAAAGCTGTTAAATTGCACCCTCTGGTGTTCACTGTTAACAGTGACAGCCTCGGCACACTATCTCCACTGATGCTCTTGTACGCGGTTCGACTCAGCCCAATGCATCTCTCCAAGCGCGCTCCACAGCCACGCTGTCTCAGAACCTCCTCTCCGGTGGTTCCAAATGGGTAGAAGTGAGTACAGCAGATAGGATTTTGACGTCAGCAGAATTCTGCCCGTGGATTAACTCTTGGATTGACTGACAGCAAATTTCCTCCTGGAGACTGCACAATACGACGACATGGTGAAAAAAACTGCCTTTTTGGGGAAGGCAGAACTTGTAAACACTTCCTGGAGAGAGGTGAAGGAGACAAAGCTGAGCAGATCATGGGAGGTTTCCAACAAACTGGCCGCCCACAGTTACACAAGCACTAAGCTAAACAGCACTGTGATAATTAATTAATTAATTAATTAATTAATTAATTAATTACATAACTAAATAAAAAGTGAAGTCTGAACGGTAAGACCACAACGGCTTTTTTAATTTAATTTTATTATTATTATTTTCAACACAACAGTTGAAGTCAGTGCGGTTGGTCCGCACATTATCACACCCACTGCATGGAGACACACGTACACTGAGCAGAACCGACCCGACCCAAAGTGAATTGAATATAACCAAGTTCACGGAGAGGGGCTAAACAGGTGCCGCGACAATGAACAGTTATATATTATAGTCGAGATGTCGAACGCAAAACGGTCCAAAGTGTGGTGTTACTTTACAAAATAAGATGCAGAAACTTCCACCTACAACCAGTGCTTTAAGAATATTTGGTGCAAAGACAAATTATTAATGGTTTTAAGTTAATATGTTGGTCAATTTCAAGTTTGACTTTGCCTCAGAATAGTCATTGCTTCATAAACCTCTGTGTGAGTTTTATTTACTTATTTTTAAAGTACCGATTTAAATACCATTTAGGAACCGGAACTGTTTTGAAAGTATTGATTTTAGCACTGGTATCGAATTAAACCCTTTCAATACCCAACCCTACCTGTGCGTTTAAGTTGTTTCCTGCTCCAACACCTGATTTAATGATTGAATTACCTCTACAAGTTTTGCAGTGGAGTGGAGAAACCTCTAACACATTCAGGATAGTGGCCTTCATAGACCATAATAGGACACCCATTTCAGCCAGAACTTCAGTTTGAATTATATATTTTTCTTATATATGGTTTTCATCCAGTCGTTACGTCTGCGTTTCACTCATAATATTCTGTACCTGCATTGTTCGTCCATCCCGTCAGAATCTCTGTTGATGTCGTCGCTCGTGTAGTACTTGAAGCATGACTAGAAAAAAAAAGAAACATAATAATGGTCGCTACAAATACAGGAAACGTAACGAAACGTCAAAGCAGAGGCCATGAAAATATGTTAAATGTGTATTTCAAAGTTCCTACCTTGCAAATAAGTACTTTGAGCGCAGGATGCTCGAACACAGAGTTACGCTGGAACTGGTTAACTTGCTTTCCACAGGCGGTGCAGCTAACCTTCTTCTGCAGAGTATCATCTATCATAAAAGAAAACAATTTATACTTTCACCCCATACCTATTTCCTGCAGCCTTATCATTAACATTTCTGCATGTAGTCACATAAAAAAAAGGGGGGGGGGGGGATTACCTGTTTTTTTCTGTTTGAAATCAACTCTGAGCTTCATGGCACCTTTATTTTCATTCCCAGTTGGTCTCATCACTAAAGTGCCTATGAAGTGAAACAGAGGCACAAAAATCAGCCTTCATTACAGCGCCAGAACTATATTAAATCTAATAGGTGTCTATTAGATCCTACCTTTAGATCCACTGCCTGTATTACTGTCAGAGGTGGCAGCTTCATTTTCACTGTCAGCTGAGGCATCAGATTCATTCTGTCCTGTGTGCCTCATTACAATGGCTGGCTTCCTAAAATGTGTCGACGTGGGAATTTTTATTATTATTATTATTATTATTATTATTATTATTATTGTTGTTGTGCAACTGCAAAAGCAGAAAAATAAATAAAATAGTGCTGCATTAAAAATAAAAACTAACCTCCTGTAAATAAAATAGTGCTGCATTAAAAATAAAAACTAACCTCCTGTAAATAAAATAGTGCTGCATTAAAAATAAAAACTAACCTCCTGTTCCAAGAAGAAGAAGGTCTTACACTTTCTGTTGAGCTCCCGGGCTGGAAAAGAACAAGGATTTATTCTAACTTTATAACCAAACAAAAGGTTTTTCAAACTGAGGCTGAAAAGCATCCAACTTGCAGTGAGGCGACACACTTACCTCCTCTTCCTTGTCTACCATTTGGTCTAAATGTGATTCAGAAGAAGCCAGACTCATGTTACCTGCAGGAACATTAGACATTTTATTTTCTGCACAAACAAAGTGGTACACTTAGGCATTGTGCAAGAAAATTAGAGGGGTGGTCAAACTCAGCCAAACACTTCTGGTAAAACAAACTGGAAATGCTGTCATTTTTATTCAGCCGAGACTAAAGTGGCAATCACTGTCCCCCACACACATCAGAAAATCAAAGCAGTTTGTGGTCATCTCTACAATCCATTCAAGTAAAAAAAAAAAAAAAAKGGTCWTTCACTAAAGAATTTTTGTCACTTACATAACGTGTGATCTACAGTCTGCCTCATTCTTACATTTGCAATTTTTAAAACCATTTGAAAAATTCTGATACTTGAGAAAATATTTTTTAATGTAATCTTGTGAAACATTGTTTTAGTTGCAGTATTTTAGCTCACACAAATATTACATGACTACTGACAGTCTACTACAAAGCATGGCAAAGCAACGCTAACAACTAAAATAAAATAAAAAAGCTTTAAAATGCATGGTATGTTTTAAATGGGTATTCAAATGGTTAATATTTTATAAACTGTATATATTTATGTAATTACACATGGGTTTCACCACCAAAATCTAAATTTTCCCAACTCAAATTCTCAGGTTTTTCTGTCAATTTTCAGGCCATTTTTCACAATCAAGTACAAGAGTGGTCAGTGCTCACTGTGTGCCAGTCTTCTTTAATAAAAATTA